CTATTGATAAATCAAAATGAAGTTCTAAAAAATGTTCAAGTAACCCACAGGAAAGCAGGTAAAACAGGAAAACAAAAACCAGAGAGAACACACAAAAAGCTAAAAATAAAATAGAAGACTTAAGCCCTTATATATCAATAATTGCATTAAATTATAAATAGTATAAATATAATTATTAAAAAACATATTTCCAATATGGATAAAAACATGACTCAAATATATGACATTGGTGAGAAACTAACTTCAGATATAATGAAATAGGCATATTGAAAACAAAAATATGGAAAAAGCTATAAATGTAAGCATTAATCAAAAGAAAGTAGGAGTGGCTATATTAATATCAGTTAAAGTAGCTTCAGAGCAAAGAAGATCATCAGAGACAGAGAGGGATGTTATATAATGATAAAAGTGTCAGTATACCAAGAAGAGTTAACAATCATAAATGTGCATGCACCAAACAGCAGAGCTGCAAATTATGTGAAGCCAAAACTGAAATAGATTTGAAATGGGCAAATCCACAACTATAGTTGGACACTTCAACAACCCTCTCTCAGCAATTGATAGAACAGGTAGACAGAAAATCAGCTAGAATATAAAAGACCATCAACCAAAAGGATTTAAGGAATACTTACAGAACGTTCCACATAACAAAGCAGGGCACACGTTCTTTTCAAGTTCCCTTGAAACTTGAAGATATGAAACAGAAAGATAACAAGAAGCTAGAAACTAAACAATATACTTAGAAACTAAAGAACATCTAAGTAATCCATGAATCAAAGCAAAATTCTCAAGGGAAATAAAAATATATTGAATTGAAAGAAAATAATGCAATCTATCAGAATGTTTGGGACACAGCTATAGCAGTACTGAGAGGAAAATTTATATCACTAAATATTTACATTATAAAAAAGGATGTCTAAAATCAGTAATCAAAGCTTCACCCTCAGCCCCCTCTCACAAAAGAGCAAAACAAACCTAAAACAAGCAGGAGGAAGGAAATACTGAAGAGCAGAAATCAATGAAATTGAAAACAGAAAAACAATAGAGAAAATCAATAAAAGAAAGAGCCAGTTCTTTAAAAAAATCAATAATGTCGAAAGACCTCATGCAAGACTGACAAAGAAAGAAAGAGAGAAGACATAAAAAACCGAAGTCGGTATAAAACAAGAGATATTATTGCATACCCTGCAGACATCAAAACGGTGTTAAGAGAATACTGTGAGCAACCCTACACATATAAATTTGACAACTTAGATGAAATGGACCAATTCATCAAAAAGCAAACCAGCACAACTATTCAATATGAAATAGATAACTTGAATAGGCCTATACAATTCAGGAAATTGACCCAGCCCTGGTGGTCTAGTGGTTAAGATTCGGTGCTCTCGTGGCTGCAGCCTGCGTTTGTTTCTGGTCAGGGAACCATGCCACCCATCTTGGGTTGTCATACTGTGGCAGCTGGGTGTTGCTGTGATGTGAAAGCTATGCTAACGGGATTTTGGATACCAGCAGGGTCACCCATGGTACACAGGTTTCAACAGAGCTTCTAGACTCAGACAGACTAGGAAGAAGGACCTGGCCACCCACTTTGGAAAATTGTCCATGAAAACCCTGTGAATAGCAGTGGAGCATTGTCTGATGTAGCACCAAAAGGTGAGAGGATGGTGCAAAAAGACTGGGCAGGGTTCTACTCTGCTTTACAGGAGTTGCTAGGAGTTGGAGTTGACTCAACAGCACTAACAATAATATTAAGTTAATAATTTTAAAACTCCCAAAAAGGAAATTTCTAGGCCCAGATTGTTTTACTGGAGAATTATGCCAAATATTTAAAGAAGAATTAACATCACTTCTATACAGAAAGTAGAAGAGAAGGGGGAATTTCCCTGTTCATTTTATGAAGCAATATCACCCTGATACCAGACCAGAAAAAGACAGTACAAAAGAAGAAAACTATAGTTAATAGATGCAAAACTCCTTAAAAAATATCAGCAAATAAAATTTAGCAATATATGAAAGGAGTTATACCCAGTTCCCAAGTGAGGTCTGTTCCAGGGATTCAAGACTGGTGCAGTATTTGAAAACCAATCAGTGTAAGCCACCATATTAACAGCCAAAGAAGAAAAAGCAAACAATCATGATAATTGATACAGAAAAAACATTTGACAAAAGTCAACATCCGTTCATGATTAAAAAAAAAACCTCTCAGAAAAGTACTAACAGAGAGGATCTTCTTCAACTTGATAAAGAACATCTACAAAAACCCTACAGCTAATAGCCGTCTTAATGGTGAAAGATTAAATGCTTCATCTCTGATTGGGAACAAAGCAAGGATGTCTACTATCACCACTCTTATTCCACATAGTGCTGGAAGTTCTAGGGAGTGCAATAAAGCAAGAAAACAGAAGTAAAAGACATATAGGAAGTAAGAATAAAACTGTCCCTATTTGCAGCTGACATGATTGTCTCCTTAGAAAATCCTGAGAATCTACAAAAAATCTCCTGGAACTAATAAGTGAGTTCAGCAAGGTTGTAGGATATAAAGCCAACATGCAAAAATCAATTGTATTGATACATATTAACAATGAATATGTGGAAATGGTAATTAAAAATACAATACCATTTACAATGACTCAAAAAGAGAAAGAAATATTTAGGTGTAAATTTAACAAAACATGTATAGGAGTTGTGTGCTGAAAACTACAAAACGTTGATAAAAGAAATCAAATGAAGAGACATACTATGTTGATGGACTGGAAAAGCCAACATTGTAAAGATGTCAGTTCTCCCTAAATTGATTTACAGGTTTAATGCAAATCGTATCAAATTCTCAGCAAGTTTTTTTTGTAGGTATAGGTAAGATTACTCAAGAATTTATATGAAAAGGCAAAAGAGCTAGAATAGCTAAAACAGTTTTGAAAGAGAAGAATAAAATGGGAGGAATCACTCTACTCAATTTCAAGACTTATTATATGGTGACAGTAATCAAGACTGTGTGGTATTGGTGGAGGGATAGATTCAAAGATCAATGAAACAGAATAGAGAATCCAGAAATAGACACACCTAAATGCTCAACTGATTTTAGACAAAGATGCAAAAGCACCTTTACTCAATGGAGTAAAGATAGCCTTTTCAACAAATAAAACATAAAACCATAAAACTTTTAGAAAAAAATATAGGAAAATATCTTCTTAATCTAGGGCTAGGAAATAGTTCTTAGACTTGACAACAAAAGCACAGTTTATAAAAGCAAAAACTGATAAATTGGACCTCATCAAAATTAAAAACTTTTGCTCTAAGACCCCATTAAGAGGATGAACAAACAAGATATAGACTGAGGGAAATATTTGCAAGTCATGTATCCAACAAAAGACTAGTATCTAGAATATATAAAGAACTCTCAACACTCAATATTTTTTTTTGCAGGGAAAGATTCGCCCTGAGCTAACATCTGTTGCCAATCTTCCTCTTTTTTCTTTTCCTCCCCAGTCTTCTGGCACATGGTTGTATATCCTAGTTGTAAGTCATTTTAGCTCTTCTCTGTGAGCTGCTGCCACAGCATGGCAACTGACAGATGGGTGGTGTTGTTCCGTGACTGAGAAACAAACCTGGGCCACTGAAGTGGTGAAAGTGCCCAACTTTAACCACTGGGCTGTCAGGGCTGGCTCTCAACACTCAATATTAAAAAAAAAAAAATAACAGTCCAATTATAAAATTAATAAATGACATGAACAGATAATTTACTGAAGAGAATAGATATACAGGTAGCAAATGAACACATGAAAAACTGTTCAATGTCATTAGCACTTGGGGACATGCAAATTAAAACCACAGTGAGATATCACTATGCACCTAACAGAATGGCTAAATAAAAAATAATGAGAACAGCCAAATGCTGGTAAAGATGCAGAGAAACTGAATCACTCATATGTTGCTGGTAGAAATGTAAAATGGTACAACCACTCTGGAAAACCCTTTGGCAGTTTATTAAACAATGAAACACATAGCTACCAAATGACTCAGCAATTGCACTTCTGGGCACTTATTCTAGAGAAGTGAAAACTTATGTTCACACAAAAACCTGTACATGAATGTTTATAGCAACTTTTTTTGTAACAGCCTGAAACTGAAAAAAACATAAATGTCCTTCAACAATGTTTAAACGAACTGTGGTATATCCATACCATGGAATACTACTCAGAAATGTAAAGGAATGAGCTATTGATACATAAAACAACCTGGATGGATCTCAGTGAATTATGCTGAGTGAAAAAAAGACCCCCCCCCCCCAAGTTTCCATTGTGGGAGATCGAGATTTGGCCATCCTAAAATATATCTCTTTACCTTGATTGTTTTCTCTGAGGGACATTTGACCTCCCCCACTAACTGCCTAAAGAATTTGACATGGTGCCTCCTTCCTGGAACAGTTCTTCTATCATGATGGCTGTAAAAATAATGTAGGATAAATGTTACAATAGGAAAGGCACCAACAAGCCCATCTTATCAGAAGTTCTCTCTCTCTGGCCACATTCTCTGGATGACCCTGCGAAGAGTTGCCAGACAATCATTTACATTTATAAGGGAAATCTCCATTTGTAAAGGTATCTCCCTCTCTGTTTTGGGAAGGGGGGGGATGGCCTCATTTCTAGAGGCTTATCAATGTGGAAGGTGAGGCCTTAAATCTGCATAATAACCTTACTCTTGTTTACTGCGCTTTAGTGGTAATCTCCTGTAACTGACTCCCCCCACCCCCAACATCCTCCTTTGTCGTTGGCTGAACATGGTATTTAAGACGAGAATTTCTGCTATTGTGTTGAGAAACGCAGTGTCCCTGCTTTCTCCCATGTATACATGTTATTAAACTTGGTATTATTTTCTCCTACTAACCTGTCTTGTTAATTATTTGGCCAGCCATAAGAACCTTAAGGGAAAGGGCAGAGGGAGATTCTTCCTCTTCCCCTGACACTTACTAATATGATCTGTATTTGTGTGTTTTCTTTCAGCATGGACCAATATTTACAGTCTTTGCTATGGGCAACCGAATGACCTTTGTTACTGAAGAAGAGGGAGTTAACGTGTTTCTAAAAGCCAAAGAAGTAGATTTTAAACTGGCAGTGCAAAATCCTGTCTATCATACAGGTGAAGAATTTTTTCAGATATTTCATTTAAAATACAACATTGGAATCCAAAAGTAGTTTTAAGTAACAATTACATCCTCCTCACTCCTCTATCAAGAAATGAGAGGGCCCGTTTTTTTATTCTTTAGAGTAGGGATAGTAGGAGAAAAGAATTTATGATGAGTTTGGTCATTGAAAAAAAAATTATTGGCAACCTGATACATTTAGATCTTGATTAGACATGTATAAGAGATGAGGTTACCTCACTGATGTTTACTTTGGAAAATATTTGGAGTCTGTATCCTGTTACAGCTCTCCATAATGTTGCTAACTCTCTTCTGCTGCTGTGTATACAATGTTCTACAGGCTATAGCTCTTGGCTTGATCCCTTGTTGCTACTCTTCTCTCTGAAAGTAGAATTCCACTGCTTAGTAAACCCTTTACATGGCATTTCCTGACATATTCCATAGGGCTGTTAAGGTAAGTGGGGCTTGGCTTCATGTAATTGGTGCCCGTTCATTCTCCATCCTCAGAGACTGCTGGATTGTACAGTCAGCACGCTTCCAGTGTGACAGTCTGCCTTTATTTTTTCCCAGGCTGCAAACATGTGTCCTGAGGTCATTTGTCCTCCCAAGAATGCAGAGCTGGTTCATTTTGTGCCTGGTTCTTTTCTCTGCTTTCACAATGTCTGTGCTTGCTTCTGCTGTCTACGGCTTCTTTCTCTTTGCTTCCCTTTTTGCTTCTTTCCTAGGTTTTTTTTCAGGTAGCCTCTCGTGCATTTCTTGCCATTAAGACGAAACAGTTTGTTTTAAAAGCTGTCAGTGATTATTAGCATGATTATTTTTTCTTTCTGTTTGCATTAAAATCACAACATGTTGCTTAAATTCTTTGACTGTTTAGTGCTTCTTGATGTTTGGACTATGGAATTCCAGATCAAAGAATATAAATACTTTGAAGGCTCTTGATCTGTAAGTTCACATATCCCTTCAGGAAAATATGCCTACTTACTCACCTATCAGAGGTATATGGAATTGATCAGTTTTTCTCACTTATGTTTCCTGTGTGGACTTTTATGTTTAAATATTTCTACTTAGATGAAATATGTTAATATTTACTGTTGAGCCAGCTTCTTATTCCTCTCGTGTATTCCCCTACCACAGAGAAGATGTATGCTCAGGAAATCTAAAAATTATTTTTAATTAATTTACACAAAATGTAATCTACACAGAATAGAATGATGAATTACAAAAGTAAAAATTATTTTTTGAAAAAGTTACTTTGAAGACAATAAAACAGGATTAAAGAAAAATAAAAAGGAATAATGAGTTTAAAAACTCGCTCGTACTCTCACCACCTCAACCCAAGCAGGAGTATGCATGGTGGAAGGAGCATGAATCCTAATATGGAGGAAATAGTGGGGCCAAAGCTAGTCATGGGTTTAGGAAAGGCCTCCTGGTGGAAGTAATGTTCAAGAAGACGCTTGAAAGAGAAATAGAAATTAGCAGGAGAAATTTATGGCTTGTGGGTCGGGGGAAGGTTGGTCAAGTAGGGAACATTCTGAGCAGATAGAACAGCTCATGAAAATGCTGGGATATATAAAAGAGTGTGTGTTTTCAGTAAACCTGGAATATAGATTTGGAGGGAGAAGGGGGTGGAAATATCATTGGAGAGCTAGAAAGATGATAGAAGACCTTGTAAACTTTGTTAAGGATAAGAAGCCATGAAAGGTTTTAAACATGGACATAATCATTAGATTTGTGTTTTCCAGAGGCCCTCTTTTTTTTTATGTGAGGAAGATTAGCCCTGAGCTAACATCTGTTGCCAATCCTCCTCTTTTTGCTGAGGAAGATTGGCCCTGGGCTGACATCCATGCCCATCTTCCTCTGCTTTATGTGTGGGACGCTGCCACAGCATGGCTTGATAAGCAGTGCATACATCTGCGCCCGGGATCCGAACCTGCGAACCCTTGGGCCGCCGAAGCGGAGCTCATGGACTTAACCACTATGCCACCAGGCCAGTCCCTCCAGAAGCCCTCTTAATCACCCATTTATAGATCATCCCTTAAAGTGAATCACCCTACATACTTTTACTGTCTCACAGAATGGGTTGGATCTTCATCTACTTTTATTTGCAGGAGGTGATTTTATGTACTGGGTGGACATTGGCTATAGTCCCTACTGACCAAGTATTAGTAGGGGTACATTGACTATTTGCTTCAAGGAGTTGTTTCTTTTGATAATAGTTTTCTCTGTTTATAGCATCAATTCCAAAGAATGTATTTTTAACAATGCATGAAAAACTTTATACTGTGATGAAAGAGAAACTAGGGACTAGCAATGTATATCAGTTCACTGGACAACTGACTGAAGAATTACATGAACAACTGGAGAATTTAGGCACTCATGGGACAATGGACCTGAGCAACTTAGTAAGGTAAATAGAGGCATTGGTATTATTTAATCTTGTTTTTTTGGAATAAAAATTTTAAAAAATTTGAAGCATATACCTTGGACTTCAAAAATTATCTGGTGGATTGATGAAGTCTACCTAACTAGGCATTTAAGAGATTATATTAATCTTTTAAATTGTAATTAATGGGCAATTTTCATTTAGCACTCTGATTTTAAGATGAGCAAATAAGCCAATGTAATCATTTTAATACGTTAAAGTAATTTCTCTTTAGTCATTCCATACAATTGTGTGTGCTCTACATGGATTTTCCTCTTACAATTGTCATGCGTCCCTCAGAATTTTGAAAAAAACGTTCAATGTAACATGTGATTACAAGTAGACATTGAAAGGACGGGGAGAGGACAGAATCATAAAGTAGATGACAAAGGTCCGGATGTTTGAGAGGCTTGAAAGGGTGGCTGAAGCAAAGTCAATGTGGGCCTCAGGGCTGAGCCCAGGGTCCTCCTAGAGGGTTGGTGCTGAGACACAGGTGAGACAGGAAAGGGCAGAAGCCAGGTAGCACTCAGCCATGTTCTGAGGCTTCCTGGTAAAGGTAAGGGCTGGGCATGGGAGCCATGAGAAGAGTTCCCCACATGCATAAGGAGATTTGGTAAATTAAGTTACCAATAAGGCATTTTTCCATCTCAGTGGGATACTGGGATGCTGGAGGCAGGATTCAACAGTGCAGACTCATAAGACAGAACATTTAATATTTTGTTAGAGGTCCAGAAAAAGAGAGAGAGAAAGCGAAAAGAAAAACAAGCAACCAGCCAAACTTTTAGCATGCCCAGTATCTACAACAAAACAAAACTAATTCTTGGATATCTTTGAAACTTTGGGGTAAAGAGATCCTGCAAGTTTTCTAGTGAGGATGGGATGGTAAATAAAAATGAAATAAACAGTACTTAGTGTTACTATCTAGGGCATATTAACAATCTTTGATATCCTTTTACTTAAGTATGCCACAGTAATCATTTTATTCACTTATGGTAAAATTGGCTGATGATAGGTGCTATATTTCAATATGAAATATTTCAAACTTGTAGGATCCCATGAGATATTAGGAAATTTGGTCACTAATATTGACCTTGATTCTTTGTTCGGTTATTTGGTTACTTTTTGCTGCTATCTAGAGGCATGAGCTGTATCTTAGTTACTGTTTTTTTTGTTGTTAGTGCCATCGAATCAATTCTGACTCCTAGCGACTCTGTGTACAGCAGAGCGGAACCTTGCCTGGTCTTTTCGCACCATCCACTCACCTTCCAATGCTGTATCAGACAATGCTCTGCTGCTATTCACAGGGTTTTCATGGCCAATTTTTTCGGAAGTGAGTGGCCAGGTGCTTCTTCCTCATCTGTTCTAGTGTGGAAGCTCTGCTGAAACCTGTCCACCACGGGTGACCCTGCTGGTATTTGAAATCCCGGTGGCGTAGCTTTCAGCAACACAGCAACACTCAGCCGCCACAGTCTGACAACTAACAGATGGGTGCTGCGGTTCCCTGACTGGGGAAACAAACCTGGGCTGTGGTGGTGAGAGCACCAAATCTTAACCACTAAACCACCAGGGCTGGCTAGTTATTGTTATTATTTGTTAAATAAATCCTTGTTGAAATTGTATTGAATCAATTTATTTCTATGTACCATCTCACATTTGTCAAGATCTAACAGTGCTTGCTTAGAAAGCATTTTAAAATCTTCAGGTAACTAAGACCACAATTTCAGTTACTCCAAGTCATCTGGACCACAGTAAGCAGATATTAAAACCTCTTAAGAGTGACTTTTTCACAAAAGAGTCTGTCACATATTATTATCTACCCCTAATATATAGCTATTAAATAATGCCCTCTTTGTCTCTTGTGCCTTTCTATTTTGGTCATCAGGTCTGACTTTTTATGTGTTTCTATCTTTGTAGGCATCTCCTTTATCCAGTCACAGTGAATGTGCTCTTTAAAAAAGGTTTGTTTCCCACAAACACGAAGAAAAGCAGGGAGTTCTATCAGCATTTTCAAGTTTATGATGAAGGTTTTGAGTATGGGTCCCAGATGCCAGAATGTCTCCTAAGGTAGAGTGTTTGTTGCCTATAATTACTTCATTGACCACGCTCTTCTCAGCGATTCATACATTTCTCTCATTTCGCTGTTCTAAGTAGATATAACAGCAGTTTAAGTGGAAGAGAGAGAAGCTATTTCTTAGGACCAGTTTGTTTTTGGTGTGTGTGTGAATTGAGGGAGGAAATGAAGAAGAGGGTTGTATTATTTCCATTTTTTCTTATTTTGAGGACCAAAAATGAGAGAGAGAAAGAGAGAATGAGAATGAAATGAAGAATTTATTTTGAGGCCTTTTATCTCATTTACAGCTTATTATCACATTCAATCCACCAATTTGGAACCATGCTAAATCATCAAGTGTGACCCGTCTCAGAATCAGACATTATTGTCCTTACTTTCTCTGAGGCAAAAGTAGGTGTGGTCAAATGTATTTCTCACAGTTGGCTGAGATAAATGTTTATAAAATGATTCGAATGCAAAATAACTCATGATTTTTTAATCTCTTGGTAGTTAGTCTACAATGATAACTGGTCAGAAAAGATTAAAAAGATCATAGCCAATTTGCTTTCCCTGGATAAACCCAGCAGTGGGTAGTGGGTCCCTGTGCTGGTTTTTCATCCTCCCGCAACTGACAAGAGCCAGAGTAAAAGTAGACCAAGCAGGTCATGGGCCCTGTTTTCTTATTCAATGCCAATCCTGTAGGAATTGGAACATTTATTTGCAAAAGACACTAAAATGTGGCCACCTTGCCCCTTTAATTTTCCTTGTGAATTAGTAAGTCTGAAGGTAGACCTCTCATGAAATTCTAGCTGAAAATGAAGAAATTTGGAGAAATAATTATAATTCCATAGACATTCCCCCTTTTGTGCTGTAACCTGTTACTCATAAAGCGCTCTCAAATTAATTTATATGCAAATTTTTCACCTAGAAACTGGTCAAAATCCAAAAAGTGGCTTCTAGCACTTCTTGAGAAAAACATGCCAGAAATAAAAGCATACAGATCTGCAAAAGATAATCCCATGGTAAGTAGTCCTTAGCTTTTTTGCTAAAATATATGAGATGAAAACAGTAATAAACTATGATTGTTAAAAATATATTTTTGCTCAAAATCGTGAGATTACAAAAATGCCAATCACTGTGTTGGGTGATTACATATATTATTTTATTATTACATCCTTACAACAGTGAGGTAGGTATTAATTCTATTCTACATAAGAAAAAACCGAGGCTATAGACAACCAAATGAAACAAAATTCTGAGGTTTTTTTATTGGTTTATATAGTATACAGTTGGGTGTGTGATAGGTGGAAGTTATGACAAATTAGGCAAAGATAAGAAGGCTCTACAAAGTAGACTTTGTTCTTGATGCTACTACCACTAATTGTTTCTCTCTTCAAATGCAAAGAGGGCCGCCGGCCCCATGGCTTAGCGGTTAAGTGCGCGCGCGCGCGCGCGCCACTACAGGCTGCCCCGGGTTCGGATCCCGGGTGTGTACCGATGCACCGGCCATGCTGAGGACACGTTCCACATACAGCAACTAGAAGGATGTGCAACTATGACATACAACTATCTACTGGGGCTTTGCGGAAAAAAAGGAGGAGAATTGGCAATAGATGTTAGCTCAGAGAACCAGTCTTCCTCAGCTAAAAGAGGAGGATTAGCATGGATGTTAGCTCAGGGCTGATCTTCCTCACAAAAGAAAAAAAAAATGCAAAGAAGTACTGTAGTATAATTTAAAAAGCAAGGCCCTGAGAGTCACTTTCCTAAGAGTCCTAGATCTGAGGTTCTTCAAGTGTGGTCCCCAGACCAATGGTACCAGCATCACCTGGGAACCATTCAATCAGAGGCTCTTGAGTGGAACCCAACAGTCTGTGGCTTAATAAGCCTTCCAGGTGTTTGTGATGCTTGCTAATGAATGGTTCTCAGCCCTGGCTGCTCTTTGGAATCTTTGGGAGCTTTTCAAAACTACCTGATTCTCCAGACCCACCCTCCGAGTCTGGGATTCATTTGATCTGGACTGCCTGGCTCAAATCCAGTCACTGGTTATATGACCTTGGGCATGGTACCTAACCTCTTGGCCTCAGTATGGTCACCTACCTCATAGAGTTATGGGGATTAAATGAGTTAATATTTGTCAAGCATTTTGAACATAGTAAGGACTAGTAAGAGTGTATCATCATTTTAAAAGAATCACTTCAGGGGCTGGCCCGGTGGTATAGTGGTTAAGTTTGCACACTCTGCTTCAGTGGTCTGAGGTTCACAGGTTCCATCCTGGGTGCAGACCTATACACTGCTCATCAGACCATGCTGTGGTGGCGTCCCACATACAAAACAGAGAAAGATTGGTGCAGATGTTAGCTCAGGGCCAATCTTCCTCACCAAAAAAAAAAAAAAATCACTTCAGATCTTTTAGTATTTAACGATGATATCAAACATTTTTGTTTGTTTGCTTTTAGTTATTATAGCAAATGTTATCACGAACAACTCTGCCTAACAGTGGAGAGGAAGACAGACTTAGAAAAAAAGGAATATGTGAATGTTTAGGTATCTCCCTCCTGAATACAGGGAATAGAAAGCTATATATATTGGAATGCCCTTCATTGACAAACTATGTTTCAGCTAAGGATTCTGTTCTACAAACAGACGCAGACAAAGACACATTTTGGTTTGCATTATTTTTCAGGATTTAGGGATAAAGCCATATGTGTATAATAAAAGCTGCACACAGATAAGTCTGTAATCTATGGGCCTAGCAAACAGAGTTTTTAATGACCAAGCTAAAACTCTCTACTGACAATAGTCTAGAATAGCTCTTATTTTTATTATTCTGAAGAAATGAGGCATTTTTAATCATAGGTGTTCTAACTCCCTATTTGAATAAAGACACATTTTGGGAGTGACGTCAGCATCATGGCAGAGTGAGTTGTTCCCTTTGTCTCTCCCCTCTAAGTTACAACCAGTCAGACATCCAGACACCAAAAAAGGACTCCCTGCACAGCACACCAGAATGCCTGAGTGATCCATGCATCTATATATCTGAAGGTGGGTGGTCTGGATTTCTGGGAGGCAGTGGACCTAGGGAAGCAGTCTGCTCTCTTTCCCCTAGTGGTGGTGATCCAAAATGCGGATCCTCACACTGGCACACACGCCAGAGACTATTTGCTGCAAGGGCAAATACAGCACTCCTGGCTTGGTCTCTGCCCCCAACAGTGGTGGCAGGTGATGCACACATCCCGAGGCTTCAGGACACAGAGCGGAGCTGGCAAGCCGGCTGCCTCCCCCTCCCCCAGCAGTGGAACTGGTCTTTCCAGCAGTGGGGACTATATCCAAGGCATAAATTTCCTCAGTGAGGGCGGGGTGCCCTTCTTAAAAAGCACACTGGTGGGCACCAGTGACCAGAGATGGCAGGGCCAACAACAACACTTGTGGCTTAGCCTCTACTCCTCCCCCAGCAGTGGCAGGTGGCACCTGTGACCTGAGGCTTCAGGAACCACAGCAGAACTTGAGAGTCAGCCCCTCGTGATGGCACGCCTGGCACTGGTTCTACTGGCAACGGGGGCTACATACAAGAACCTGGGCCCCTGGCAGCAACAGCGACACCTGTGAACCCAGTGCCCCTGGCAGTGGTGCTGCCAGCACCCCCAATAACCCAGGAGCAGCAGCACAGGTGTTGCATAGGGCAGCAGCACCCCAGCCTGTGGAGAGCCTGCAGAGGGCAAGTGGGGGAGCATGAGACCCAGGCAACCCCAGAAGCAGCAGAAGTGCACACAACCTGGTGACTCTGGTGGCAATACCTGAGACTGCAGCAACATCATAAGCAGCAAGGCAGCAGCAACCTCGGAGGCACAGTGGCACAAGGAGGGCATTGACGATGCCTCTGGCAGAGGCAGTGGAGGATGTAAAGTGCAGGCTCTCAAATACAACCAGAAGCAGCTCAGAACCAAAGTAACCAAAGCCATACCCAAATAAGAATGGCGATTACTACCCCAAATGCGTAAGCAGAGGATCAACTCATCAAATGCCGTGGAGAACTACAGTTACACAGCAGAGCAGAAGAATGACAACTCTCCAGAAACCAAACTTGAAGTCACAGAAGCTTACAATCTGACTGACAGAGAATTCAAAATAGCTGCCGTAAAGTAACTCAACGAGTTACAAGAAGACTCAAAAAGACAGTTCAGTGAGCTTAGGAATAAAATCAATGAACAGAAGGAATATTTCACCAAAGGGATTGAAGCTCTAAAAAAAAAAAACCAAACAGAAATTCTGGATATGAAAAACACAGTTAATGAGATATTTTAATGTAGAAAGCATAAGAAATATAGCAGACCTTATGGAAGAGAGACTCAGTGAACTTGAAGATAGAAACCAAGAAATGATCCAGGTGGAAGAGGAGAGAAAACTAAGATTTTTAAAAAATGAAGAAATTCTTCAAGAAATATCCGATTCAATTAGGAAAAGTAATGTAAGGCTTGTAGGTATCCCAGAGGGAGAAGAGAGGGGCAAAGGAGCCGACAGCTTATTCAAAGAAATAATAGCTGAGAACTTCCCCAAACTGGGGAAGGAACTGGACATACAAGTACGTTAAGCTAATAGAATGCCTAATTACATCAGTGCAAAAAGATCTTCTCCAAGGCATATAATATTAAAACTGTCAAAAGTCAATGACAGGGCCGGCCCCGTGGCTTAGCGGTTAAGTGCGCACACTCCACTACTGGCGGCCTGGGTTTGGATCCCGGGAGCGCACCGAGGCACCGCTTCTCCGGCCATGCTGAGGCCATGTCCCACATACAGCAACTGGAAGGACATGCGACTATGACATACAACTATCTACTGGTGCTTTGGGGCAGGGGGGAAGAGGAGGATTGGCAATAGATGTTAGCTCAGAGCCGGTCTTCCTCAGCAAAAAGAGGAGGATTAGCATGGATGTTAGCTCAGGGGTGATATTCCTCACACACACACAAAAAAGTCAATGACAAAGAGAAAATATTAAGGGCAGCAAGAGAGAAGAAAATAACCTACAAAGGAACCCCTATCAGGCTTTCAACAGATTTCTCAGCAGAAATCTTACAGGCTAGGAGAGAGTGGAATGATATATTCAAAATACTGAAAGACGAAAACTATCAGCCAAGAATACTCTATCCAGTGAAATTATCCTTCAGATATGACAGAGAAATAAAAACTTTCCCAGACAAACAAAAGCTGAAGGAGTTCATTACCACTAGATCAACCTTACAAGAAATGCTGAAGGGAGCCCTCCTACCTGAAACAAAAGGCAAAGGTTTACAAAGCTTTGAGCAAGGAGATAAATAGACAAAATCAGAAAATTGCTGCTCTATATCAGAATAGGTTAGCAAACACTTAATTATAAAATTAAGGATAAAGGGAAAGAAAGCATCAAAAATAACTATAACTGGGGCCAGCCCAGTAGCACAGTGGTTAACTTTGGCGTGCTCTGCTTCAGCAGCCTGGGGCTCACAGGTTCAGATCCCAGGCATGGACCTACACCACTCATCAAGCCGTGCTGTGGTGGTGACCCACATACAAAATAGAGGAAGACTAGCACAGATGTTACCTCAGTGTCAATCTTCCTCAAGCAAAAAGAGGATTGGCAGCGGGTGTTAGCTCAGGGCCAATCTTCCTCACACACAAAAAAATAACTATAACCACTTCAATTTGGTCACAGACTCACAATACAAAAAAGAATAATTTGTGACAAGAAAAACATAGAAGGGGAAGAGGAAAGGGATGGAACCTGCATAAGCTAATGGAGATAAGAAACTATCAGAAAACGGACTATCTCATCTATGAGATCTTTTATACATACCTCATGGTAACCACAAAACAAAAAGTCAGAGCAGAGTCACAAATGATAAATAAAGAGAAAGTGAGAAAGCCATCACAGAAAGCCACCAAACTGAAATGGCAGACACAAATACAAGGGAAAAGAAACAATGGAAATATAGAACAACCAGAAAACAAAAGATAAAATGGCCGTATTAAGCCCTCATATATCAACAAT